GTATCCTTGTGACTGTGAGGACAGCTTACCTCCTGATGTTAGGGATCCATTATTATGCGCAAGCGCGGTAGCAAGGAAAAGCTACATTTCTGCTGAGGCCTAGCCGCAGGCCTACCCTCAGGGGAAGGACCCTTGGAAACACTAGGTACGCGGTCGCTAGGACCACTTGTCTGGAGGCTGTAAGTCGTATGGTGGCCTTGAGTCAATCCTCCACCTCATGCAATTTCGCGGTGTAGCTTCAAGCTGGACATGACAAACAATTTGGCCGAAGTGACTCCCCAATTCTTGGGGCAGTCCAACCTTGGAATCCCATAACTCCCGCTTGCCTGCGCCCGCCCGACCCCGCCCCCGGCCCGCGCCCGCCAGCTGCCTCCCGCGCCCAGCCCACCTTCCCCGCCACGCCCTCCCGACCGGAAAAAAAGCGCAAACAGAAATTACCTGGGCTCAATAGGCTCAATAACCGAAGCTTTCCAAAATTTGCGTAAACTATATAAAGAAATCACCGAAACTTACCAAACGTATATGTAACAATTGTTAAAACATTGCTAATAAATTTGTGTTTACGCCAAGGAGTTTGCACCGCCGGGAAACATAAGGAACCCTGGGCCAGGCGAGACAGCCTCTTGGCTTGGAGCCACGTCTCACCCAGCGCAGCTCCGTACTAACAGGGGAAATAAGTAGCCCAGCGTTCTGGCTGTTTCCCCTTTGTGCTTGGACCCTTTGTTGAACGTCTTTAGGGTTGGACCCCTTTGCAGTTCGGCCCCCTTTGAGTTGGAACCTTGAACGATTGATAAGCCGCACTACGCCTGTGGCTCCTCCCAAACCCTGCCGAGGCGCCGCCCGTGACTTTTCTGAACTTGGCTACTGTTTGGCGTCTCGATCCCATCCCCTGAATTAGACAATGAACTTCCCCCGCGGGGGAAGTTCATTGTCTAATTCAGGGGATGGTTGGGTGAGTGTTTCGTTGGGTTGTGGGTGCCCTGTCAAGCCTCGCTTCCGCAGACGCGCAAGCTCCAGACAGTGTGTCTCAGACCCTCTGCGGGGATACCTGACAGCCTTGGTTTATTTAGACCC